CTTGTACTGGGTTTGGCTGGAACAGAGTACCCATGAGGGTACCCATCAAAGGGGGAAAGCAGGGAGAGGAGAAGTTAACTAGAAATAGAGCCAACTATGGCAATTATAGTCATCTAGTTGCCTGGGGAGATACTGTGTAGCAGAAATCTCTGGAGGCTGAGAGAGCTGGGCCTGTTTAGCCTGGAGAAGAGACCAACTGAGAGGGAATCTTCTCAATGCACACAGATATCTTACAGGTGCGTGTCAAAAGGATGGGGCCAGGCTCTTTTCAGTAATACCCAGCAACAGGGTAAGGGGCAGTGGGCACAAAATAAAACACAGAAAGATCCATCTGAATATGAGGAAGCACTTCTTTCTTTTGAGTCTGGCAGAGCACTGGGACAGGCTTGCCAAAAAGTCTGTGGTGTTTCCTTCCCTGGAGATACTCAAAACCCACCTGGACACCATCCTGTGCAACCTGCTGTAAGTAAACCTGCAGGAGAGTTAGATTAAATGATCTCCAGAGGTCCTTTCAAACCCAAAACATTGTGTGATTCTGTGATTTTAAGGTATTTTCTTGTACTGCCACCAAAACACTACAAGGTAGCTAACAGTCTAATCCGTTAAATGATCCTGCATTATTTCTGCTTATAATAGCATAAATGGAATGATAATCATGAGTAAAGGCAGGAGGGAAAGAAAAAACACTAAAAACTTGTTTATTGAAGTGTGCCATTACAGTGAATGAGGATTAAAAGAATTACTCTTAAGTATTTAATAAAGAAAAAAAAAAAAGAGCTTGAAAACAGCTGACATGTCTAGCATTGAAAATCTTTTGATTACTGTTGCAGGGACCTCCAGGTTTTAAGGGGCATCAAGGATATAAAGGATCAAAAGGTGAGCCTGGATACGTGTATCCAGAAGGGCCAAAAGGTGAGCGAGGAGATCCAGGGCCCAGAGGAGACAAAGGAAGAAAAGGTTCAAGTGGATTTGTTGGAAAACCTGGCTCTAAAGGGTCAAAAGGTTCCAAAGGTGAAGAGGTGGGTATGCAGTCTTTACAATTAATACAGAATTCATTAAAGCCTAAATCAGTATTAATATCTTGTACAACAGCCTGTTTTATCTGTTAAGATACGTTAAGTGAAAATCCTCTACCTGACTTAGGAGTATTATGCTCAACTATAGCAACCAATATGCAGAACGAACATCTGTGAACGAATGAGAGTAAATAATCTTACAATATCAGAGAAAGATGAGGCTATTATAGGTACACGTTGCTGAAAAACCTCAGCGGTCTTTTGTGGTGTTAGCCTGGATATTTACACTGGAGCATCATCTTGGATTCCTGTGATGAATAAGATAAACAAAAAAAATTAAAAAAAAAAGGGGGGGCAAAAAAAACCCACCAACCAAAAAACCCCCAAAATAAAAAACCAAACCAGTTTTCCTCACTACTTATAATGCTTAAAAGGAGGTGATATTTCAAATAGTTCCTGTTCAGTCTGTAGGAGTTAATCTTGAGTCAGGGCTGGAAGAAACCACAAAAGCTAGGAGGGCTGACCATAAAACAAAGTTAGGGCAGAGCTCTTTGTTCACCAGAAACAAAACCTAATAATTATTGTTGTGTTTGTTGGCTGAAAAACTGTTAAAGTGATTCAGATATAACTGTCTCTAAACCTGACTCCACAGTATACAAAGAGGATCAGAGTTGAGGTGTTGTTTGTTTTGTTGGGTTTTGTTTTGTTTGGTTTTTTTACCAGACTTGTTTTAAAAAGGTGTATAATGGTATAATGCCACAGTGACTGAAAAATCAAGCTGCTTTATTTATTTGTACTATTTCCCTCTTACTAGCCATCTATTTTTAACCCTTGATACTAAAATTTATAACCTTTTAATCACAAGTAAATCAGGGAAAATTCCTCTTTAGTTAGCAGATCCACTCTGTTACTAAAGTAAGACAAGATTATAATCAGAGAATCAGCATTTGGTTATGAAAGCTGGTGTAGAAACCTTGTAATGCTTGGTATACACATGTGTAATCGTTAATAGGGACTGGCTGGTTCAAAAGGAGACAGGGGACTACCTGGATTGCCTGGCAGTCTTGGGCTTCCTGGAGAAATGGGGTTTCCTGGACTGCCAGGATATGGACCACAAGGAATAAGAGGTTTCAAAGGCTCTAAAGGAATACCTGGTCCACCTGGATTACCTGGAGAAGCTGGTTTGTAACTTCCTATATTACCATGTTTTACCTATGTTACAGGGTACTTGATTGAAATTGCAGACAGTGATGAAGTCAAAAACAGTGAAACATGGGAAGCTTTTCCTTGCTATGAGATTTCCATAGCGTTGTTCCAAGTTTTGTCGCACTGAAGATAATAGTGAAAGTCGGAGGGTCATAGCACAATTGAGGTTGGATGGGACCCTTATGAGGTCTTCAGTCCAAATTTCTGCTACAGTACATCATCTCTGTGTAACCTCTTCTGGTGCTTGACTGTCCTCATCATGAAAAAATAAAAGTCTTTAAATATGCATCCAGTCATCATTAGTGTGATCTGAGTCATCAGGGGAAATATGAAGGACTTGATCATTTTTGAGTGCTGAAAACATACCAGTGTATGTATTTATAGGCAAGCATAATCTGAAAGAACTCAAAGTTGGATGGCAGATATAATCAAGTTTTCTCCAAGAGCATACCCATTAAATCTTTAAGAAATGGATTTGCAGATTAAGCATTTCTCAATTGCATCATTTTCCTGCTGACTTTGTGCTGCCTCTTCTGGGTCTCCACTAGACTGCAGGAGGGCTGATAAGGAAGCAGATGTGCTTGGTGTCAATAAAATTATTTTGTTTTATGAAGCCAGGATCTGAAGGCTTTTAAACTCTGTTGGAGTTTCAGAAATATGAAAACTGTAGAAGTCTGCATTTTTAACCAAGTAGATTGATCGCTAATAATTTTGAATGTTTAAGATTTCATATTGCCAAACTATAAGTCTTGTAATCTTGATTATATATTTGCTGAAGGTCTGAAAGGAGAGGCTACTAGGATATCACCATTACCTGGGTTGCCAGGACCTCAGGGACCAGGTGGTTTACCTGGACCCCCAGGAGTGCCTGGTAAGTACACATGCACTTAATACAGTAAAAGTCAGAGATAATCTGATGAGGATTTGTTTCCCTGCTCTGGCCAGATAAAACTGTTAGTGTTACCTTGAAATAACTATTAGAAGGAGTTATGTGTTACAGAAACTATGAAATTAGTTGTAACATTCCCTTTCAAGAAAACTGAGGGAGATGGATGTGAATAGGAAGGGCACACACGGCTATGTCCTTGGTGTGCAGTATGGTAAGAGATTCCAAGAATCCTATACTATGACTTGGTTCCTCCAGGAACCAGAAATATCTGGAGCATATGCTGCAGCTTCTGCATCCAGAAGGACACCTTTGACATGATTTTGACAAAAGTGTATCCTAACATATGCTGGGGCTGCTGCAAAACAGAATGAACAAAATTAGGTTAAAGTACTCTTAATCTTCCTGAACCCTTGCTCCTTCTCATGCTTTGCATGGGCACAATCAAAAAAGTAGCTGTGTTAAGTTTCCTGCTTCCTTTTTGATGTGACTGTTGCTAACCATTGTTCTATGTTGTTGAGAATGTGAGTTTCCTTTTTTGGGTGGGTTTTGGGCTTGGCTTCTAGGTGAGATTTTATTGGTTGCTGATGATTTTAAATTTTGCAGTTTTTTAATGCACTGAGGGCCACTAACTGATATTCAGGCTAACCATAAAGCATCTTTGTTTTCATTTTGTAGAACAATAGTCCTTAAAGCTGCCATGGATAGCACAGGAAAAATTCTTGGCAGCTTTATGGTAGCTTCTGTTCTTGCAGTTGTTTGCTTTCCAAGCCTTACCCCTGTAATATGCGTTTGTATCTTCTCAACAAGTGGAAGATTTGTATCTGCAAGTAGTTGTTCTTAGAAGTCTGGAATTTGGTCAGATTGCATAAAGACTTAACTCACAGGCTCATGCCTGCTTTGATACTGTGAACACAATAATCATTTCAACTGTAAAAAACTTGCTGTGGAGGAGAAATAGTGTCTAAGTTCTAATACAATCTACAGTGGTGTCCTAATTAATAACGATAAACTATAAACCACCTAATCTTACATGCTGATGTTCTGTGGTAAGGTACATCACAGTTCACTTATTTTCTCTGTACAGGTAGGGCTGGAGCAAGAGGTCAGCCAGGTGATCCAGGACATCCAGGGCCAACAGGTGACACAGGCTTCCCAGGACTTGGGTTTCCAGGAAACCCAGGTCCAAAAGGTAAAAAAAAAACAACACAAAACCAACAAAAACAAAAGGCAAAATGGGAAACATTTACTTTTGGGTTTAGTCCACATTAAAAGCAATCAACATATAAAATAAACTAAAAATCAATAATTATTAGTCAAACAGACAAGTGTTTTTAGCCCTCTTGTGATTTACTGCCTTGAAGTTTATAAATTGGAAGTTTGAAATATTTTGAAGTATTTCAGAGAATCAAGTATCAAAGCTGGCAGGAGGAAAATATTTTAAGACATCGATGCTTCGTGTAAAACAGCCCAAACAGGTGCAGCTCACCTGAGGGCCAACTTACTTCACATGGATTCTCTGTACCTGGATATATGTTACAAAGAGCTGTTTCTGTGCTTTATCTTTAATTTTGGTTCCGTACAATGCAATACCTGCTCTAATGTGCAGGTCGTAGAAAGCATTTATAATGCTGATAGTTTGGCCATTTCTCATGCAAAGTCATACCCCTCTTTGGACACCAGTCATATTAAAAAATTCTCAGAATCCTGCTCAGGATGGGGGAAGAAAAGGAGGGGGAAAAAAAAACAACACTCTGATGCTGAAACTACTACAAGCTGCTTGTTAAAGAAAGCAGTAGGGAACTGACATTAGAACAGCGTCACTTAAAAAAAATCTCACATAACAGATTTGAAACAAGTAACCAAGTGTTACAGTCAGCGCTGAGTGAGTATGTAAGGAACAAGATGCAGTGTGTCATATCAACTCTGAAATCAGGATGCTGTCCTCAGCTCATGTCAGCTACTTTAGTGTAAGAGGCTTGTAACTGCATCCATACAAATATCCATTTGTAAAATAAAGTGATAACTACAGCATCTGTACTGCCATTTAATTCCTTTTGCAGGAGATAAAGGACTTGCAGGAGGCAAAGGGTCACCAGGTTTTGAAGGAAAGATTGGAGATACAGGCCGAGCTGGAAACCTAGGACAACCAGGAGAAAAGGTTTGGTTAGAAACATAGTACAGACTTTTCCATAAGTCCCATTCATTAAATGTGACACTGAGCAAATAAATTAAATGTAAGGAATACAGGAGTTTTTATATTTCTTGACCAGTGACACACAAGCTATGAAATTAAATTCTTTACATAAAAAGGGGCTCAAGCCAAAATTTTAAATTCAGATACTGGACTTCAGAGCTCCAAGTGTTGGGGATGCTTTGGTACTCAGTTTTTAGAGCACAAGGAGAATATTACATTCCTCAGAGGAAAAAGCAAGGCCATAGCTTCTGAAAAGATGGTTATTCAGAAACTGGAATTAAACACATAATTGATGGAGGTCAGTGACAATTATGCATGCATTTAATTTAAGTGCTCCACTGAACTGAAACATAAAGGAAGTAGGTTGGAAGTAATACTGCAGCCACTCTTGCTGATTAACAGAAACTACTCTACTGATGGCATATGTAAACATAGAAACACTACTGTGTAATCAGGATTCAGATTTGAAAAAAAATGGTAGCACCTAAGTGTTTTGAAGATATGGCATTTCTTTTTTGTGTGCGTCCTCAAATGTCATTCTTTTGTGTGTTTTTTGACATGGTGAAGTGTGTGGTTTGAGGTTGTGGATTTTATTTTTTTTTAATTATTATTTAATCTGTATTTGATGTCACAGAACAGCTGGATATGGAGTGGCGTTTGTGGTCCAAGTATATCATCAGTGACAGGCATAAGCTCAGCTCTAGTGACTTGCTTTGTGGACATGCTGATTTGCTGGTACTCAAAGCAACCAGCAGATTAGTCAGCCAAATAAACTAATTCAAACTTTTGATTCAGGGAATAGACATGGGACATTTGTGATAAAAGCAGTCTTCATTGAAAACAATGGTCAGAAGAAGGATTAATTTTAAAACACCAGTAGCTGACTTTGAGTATTCTGAGACAGATCTGGGTGTTGACCTTGATTATTTATATAAATGCTTTGATAAAAATATGACTATCATATAAAAATAAAGGAAAAGTTATGTTTCCACAAACTTAAGCCAAATTTTCAGATACAGATACAAAGCTTTTCACAGCTACAGCAACCATCAACAATGCAGTAAAGGCCAAACGGAAGAAAGTATCTTGCATTGCTTAGTAACAGTTTCTTAGAGTTCGGAGGCGGAGTTCAGTAGCTGTCTAGAGGAATTACTCTGGTATGGAACCTGCAGCTGGCCTATAAGGAACATCCAGAAGTCTGCTGAATTGGAGCCATTAAAAGTTATAATGTGGAAGATCCCCAGGGAATGGAGAAAATTACCCTAATAAAAAAAGTTAACTGATCACACAGCGGAGAAATATTTTGGCAGACATGCAAAACATAGTGGATTTCTCTCTGTGTTGCAGGGTGACCCAGGCATGGTTATTCCTGGAGAGCCAGGTAGACTGGGTTCACCAGGAAGTCATGGCATTCCTGGCTTAAAAGGTGATACTGGATTTCCAGGACTTCCAGGCCTACCAGGGCGTGCCGGACATGATGGTGATGATGGCCTAAGAGGTACTGTTGTCAAACAAGCTCAAGGAGCACAGAAAGTTGTTTAAGGAAAGGGAAACCAAGTCAAGCAATGCTCACTCAAAGTCTGAAACTTCTAGTTAAATGATTGTGAATCCAGTTTCCTCTCTTTTAGGAGATCGTGGTTCACCTGGAGTTCCTGGAGATCCAGGTTTGCCAGGGAAACCTGCTGAATGTCTTACTGGCCTGCCAGGTTTGCCAGGTGGCCGGGGAGCTACAGGTCCACAAGGTAGGACCTTCTGAATCAACTGTGCAATTTGACTGGGTGGGTCTAGGGTTTGTTTCTGCTTTCCAATAGCCTGAGGGAGCTGAAGCTGTTCCTAGATATGGTTATAGGATAGTATGTGAAAAAACGTGAGCCCATTTAAGAGACGCGCTTCCCTCAGATGGGAAGAAAACAGCCCAAACAACCCACAACTCTTCTACAATTTCCTGAACATGCATGTTGTCTTACAGATCTAATGTTTAGCTTTCAAACACAGTTCGAGTTTCATGCTTATAATGGCAAGATAGAGGCGAAGGCTTAGTTTTCAGACAGTTGTACCATACTACACTGTCACGCATTTTTCCTAGGAGGAAGAGGTTTGCAAGGTTCAAAAGGAAAACTAGGTCCTCCTGGCTTGAGTATCCCAGGAATCTACGGACTGCCTGGGGAACCTGGATTAATAGGTCTTCATGGAAATACAGGATTACCTGGCCCCAAGGGACAGTCTGGAAGGCCAGGAATCTCTGGTGTGCCAGGTAAGGATTTCCCAAGTACTTGTTTTGACATAGAAATTCAGTCTCTGTAAAAATGTCAGTCATGCTTTTCCAAACTGAATATGCTAACATATTTTTCCATCAGCAGCTTTTGTATATATTAAGACCTATCTATAAAACAAATCATCATTCCTTAAATGACAAGCATATCTTGAAGCTGTTATGACACAGTACTCATTTTTCTGTAAGTCTTCTGAGAATAGAGGGGTACCTTACATGGTTGTTGTACAGTAATGTTCTTGCAGTAGGAAATTAAACGATTGACATTCGAAGCAACTCCCCAGCATAATGGAAGGGTATTTAGTTCTTTCTCAGCATCCATTTTCAAACAAATAGCTTGTTAATGCTGTCTGTTTTTTCTTAAAAAGAAAGTTCAGATCTTGAGGCTGACAGAGTTGAGTCAGATCAAACTCACCTTAATTAGAGCTAACTTTAAGTAATGCAGTTAATCCCTGTAGGGGTTGTTTTTCAGATACGTGTTCAAATCTGATTTGTAGAATAAAATCTGTTATGTAATGCTCCCTATCTCTCAGAGATTTTTCATTAGTATCAAATCCTTCATTATTCTGTAGGAAAGAGATGGTACATAATTTTTTATAAAGCTATAGACCAAATGATAAACATGTATCACTTGACTCAGTTATGCAAGCTGATACTTCTGATGTCATTTGAGGGGAGTTGTCATGTCCTAGCTGGTCTTCAGCTCCTGAGCCAGAAAGGAATATCTTTCCCATACAACCCATAACAGATCCTCCATCCCTGTGTGGGTATCTCAGATACATTTTCCTCCATAACAGTTGTTCCATGCATTGATAGAAGCGGTTGCAGCTAGTAATCTAAGGTAGTCTGGAGTTTACTGTGTGTATAAATGCTGTTCATGTGGTTAACGACTGGAAAGCTGGCTTGGATAGCATGCTTCAGAGATCAATATATATAAGAAAATATAAGCAATTAAATATTTAAATGATAAGCAGATGTGTAGTTTTCTGAAGTAATGTTCTGTTTCACTGACCAAACACTAGCAATATGTTGCTGTTGCTTCAATTCCACAGGCTCAAGGGGAGAGCCAGGTATAATGGGCCTGTTAGGAATTCCTGGACCCCGTGGCATTATTGGAAGACCAGGCAACCCGGGTATTAGAGGCAAGTGGCCATAGTATTTGCTTTCATTATTATTTAGATTATAGAAACTTCCGTGCTAAAGTTAGTCTTGTGTTCCTTCTTGATGTATGTTTTCATGTGTCATCCTAGAATTTCTTTGACAAGTCTTTGGCTTCTGTATATATGCAATCTACAGGCTGAATTACTACATTATTTAATTTTTTTAGCAGTTTTGAATTGCCACCTCTTCTATTTCTTTGGTATGTGTAAAAGTGGCTGGTAATCTGCTAAATAAAGAGCAGAGAGCTTTTTTGCTTTATTTTTTTTGCATCCCTTTCATCTAATATCAGTTGTATCTATTCAACAGATACAAGATTATACATATATTCAGTATAAGAAATAATTACTGTTTCTTGCCATAATTTGTGCTGGTAGATGTTTTATTGATGACTGGAGTAATTAATAAGCTTGTTTAGGCTTCTTAATGACACCAATCACTGGAGTAATTGGAATATACAGTGGGGACATATATTTGCATATGTAGCTGCCCTTTAAGACAGGAGTTTTGTTGCTTCACTTATGCTAGCATCTAGCCAGGTTTCTTTAGAAAATTTAATTTTATTTTCTTGTAGGCTCTTCTGGCTTCCCAGGACTAAAGGGAAGAAAAGGATTTATTGGAGCAAAAGGCGAACAAGGTGATAAAGGTTTTCCTGGACCATCTGAGACCTTGGTTGATATTGGGAATAAAGGAGAACGAGGTTTAAAAGGTACACATTCCTTGTTCTGTTATTCAAAACTAATTAGGGTTGTCAGCTATGTTGCAGTTCCAGTGAACTCTATAACATGGAAGAAATTGACTGTACTACTGAGAGCATTCGCATGGCTTTGAAATTAGTATTACTGAACACTGTAACTGCCTTTTTATTTATGGGATAGTTCAAGAATACGCTGGATATATATTTTCACTTCAACAAGTCCATATTCCTTGAAAACCTGCTATTGTAATGTTAAACCAGTAATAATATGTCAGTAGTACTAGGAGGCTTATATACATATGCTATACAGTCAAGTGTTTATACATTTAGTAGCCCATGAGCACAGAAATGGATGTGCTTACCAACTAGATGCTGGATTTCAAAAAAGTTGGATCTGCTCAGAAATACTTGATTGTCAGAAGAATATTGTTTACAATATTGCAAAATATTGTCTGCAATACTAATATAGACTGTCTATGAGTCGTACATGCTAAACTAATATTGTCTGGTCTTTTGTGTACACATTTTCCTATGTAAGCTTTCAGAAAACTTCCTTTTGTCTCCATATGAAAAACTCAGAGGTATTAACTGTGAGCTTGTTTCTTGCTAATGTGTATTCACAGAGTGAAAATCCTATGCTCCGCTTAATTAGCTCTAAGAGTTATAGTACTTTAAATTTTATAAAACTTTGTATTCTAAGATGTTATGTAGTATTTTTTAAAATGAAACTTTGTTTTAGGAGTTCATGGAAGAATGGGTCTAAAAGGAGAAAAAGGAGATGCTGGTGTGCAGGGTCCCCCAGGTCTTGATGGATCTGAAGGAATACCTGGTCTACCAGGTATGGAATATGTATATTGAAAATTACATTATCGCATGGACAGTAAAGATAATATTACCTCAGTGCTTAGAACGTAACATGGCTCTAGCAGCAGCACTACATTCTCTGTATTAACTTTGAAACTTTTCTGAGAATTCTTAACCAGCAATTTCAAAAGCTGCTATTCGAAAGTCATAGCAGCTACCACCAAATAATTCTTTGTTCTGTTCCAAATATAGACCATTTTGGGGGGTGAGAGATAGAAAATGGTATTAAATCCTGAATAATGAAGACTTCAAACTCTAAAAGCTGATAAGAGCAGTGAATAAAAGTAGGTATTTATAAAAGTGAAGCTGAACTTCCCAATATTGCAAAGAAAAGTAAGAATTCTAAAATAGGAATATTACAATTACAAAAATATTTTAGCTTTTTTTTTTATTTATTTTGGGTGGATTTTATTTCCCTTTTCAAAGCCTGGATGTTGGGCTAATATTTTGAAAGTTACCAGAACATTAGTTTGAACATCACCAGATGTTCAGTGAAAGGCAGGTTTAAAAAGTACCTGCATAAATTATAAACCTACCTAAGTTATGACTAAGGTTTGCTCTGCCATTACCATAACTGCACACATAATGATACGTGTTGGTCCTTGAGAGACAGTGCATCTGTTTTCTCAAATTAATGCTAATAAAACATTTTTATTTCTTTGTATTCTGTATTTTTGATTCTTTGAGATAACTTCTTCCTTGAAAATCATATGATACTATAATATATAAAAATAGTGACAGTAATTTAAGCTTATAATCAGAATGGCTCTTTTCACGATTGCAATTATCCATGCTATATGACCTTATAGCATTACTGCTATACTCTGTCATTAATATCCTTTGCAGTGATTGCAATGTAGCCAGCACAGGAAAAATGCTCCACTAGTCCTTAATTTTTAATGGAATAATAAATAACACCTTACCTGCCTAAATGTTCAGGCATGGCTAGTACCCTGGAATGTATACATCTGGAGATTCCAAAATGCAACTAGATCTTGTAGTCATTAAACTGAAAGCTAATTTAGCTAAATTAAGCTAAAGATACGTGAGTGGGGGGAAAGGTGCTTAAGCCATATAAGAAAAAGCTCATGAATATACTCGTCATGAGAAGTGCATAATGGGTAATGTGATTAATAATATAATAATGTGATTGTGACATGTGCAGGAACCAGACTGAACTCAGGGGGACAATGAAACGAGGGTCCACTCTGTAAATACAAGTTCATGATCTTGATCAAAATTTGCAAAAGTATGTTTTTGTTGATGCCCCTAAGTGCTGTGGTCACAAACCTTAATTTTAGTGTTGATACATAAGATGCTTGTTATTTCCTTGACTTTCTGACAGTGATAATGATAATTTTATCTGTGTCAGTGGGTAAGAGGCTGCATGTTGATTTCTGAAATAATATCACAAGGTGTGCAGTACAGGATTCTGTATTCGTGAAAGCTCTTCCACCCAGCCACTGTCTGAAGCAACATGTAGATGACACTTTTTTCTTCATCTTGCAGGTGTCAAAGGATTTATGGGTCTTCCAGGGGTTACTGGAGAACCAGGATTCCCAGGTGCACCAGGAAACAAAGGGGACATGGGATTTCCAGGTCATTTTCTCTCAAGCCCTATTGCAAATTCATAGAGCTGTATAGAAGCATTTGCAAAGATCTGAGCAGTTACTGTAAAAGCACTACACAACCTTGGGGTTTATTCTTTGCAGTACCTATAATCTTCTTACAACCCCAGCATTTGCTTGACTTGCAGAGTGCACCTGTCCCTCTCTGTAAATGAAATATAACTACTTTAATGTATATATTATTACATGTAAGAACCTCATTTAAATGTGCTTAGAAATAAAATCCCTGGCTATGTAAATTACTATAATGAAGAATTAATATTTGACTATATAAGCAGTAGTTTACTAAACACAAAATGTGGTATGCAGTTATGATCCTTTTAAGAATGGTATCAGTATCTATTTTTCCAGGTTCAAAAGGACAGAAAGGATCTCTAGGCTTTCCAGGACCATCAGGAGACCCTGGTCCACCAGGCTGTGATGGCTTCACAGGTGACAAAGGAGATCCTGGGTACCCATCTGCTGGGCTTCCAGGAGAACCTGGTCCAAAGGTATAAAGGCAATGGAAACACTGTCATATTAGGCAATAAGCAGAGTCTTTGACTACAGCAACAGAAGAACACATAAGCAAGAGCTGCAGAACTGCATTGTTAGTGATAAGAAATATGATAATTCTGTTGTGCCATTACTTGTGAGAAATTTTTTTGAGTTTGTTATATTTCATTTTCTCTTGGTGCAAGAATTTCATATTTGCAAGATGGTCCATGTTTACAAATAACTTTGCTTATGTAAAAGCTGCTAATCCAGTAAGAACAAGGACTTGCACTTAAACGGTCAGCAGTAGCAATACTTGTACATTAAAAAGCATAAAAAAACATAATCTTAGCAAATACAAAAGTTTCGTAATCTAAAATTGTACTATTGGGTTTTGACAGACTAGTAATATCATTACCTAAGATGAATTGTTTTTTTCTTCTTACCAATATATATTGCTAAGAAAAAAACAATATTTTTTAGGTCAATTGATTACAATTTTATTCCACATATTCTGGTTAACAACTAGGAGTCATTTTACATATGAATTTATCTGAAGTACATCGCTGAGATTGTAAACTGTACTATAACTCCTGTAATCTGTCTAAATTAGCTGTTTATTTTCTGTATTAACTGGGTAGGACAGTGTTACTGTCCTGAAAATCAGTAGGAATTAAGGAAAAATATGCAATTCAGTATTTTGTATAGCTGCATATCATATAAGGAATGCATATTTGGATCAAAGAGGACCTGTTAAAATAAAATTGAAGGGAAGTCTGTGTGCCAGTGAAAACATCTAAAGATTGAAGCTGGTTTGTACAGATGAAAGATCTTCTAGCTATGTTTAAAAAAGATCGGTGGTATTATGACAAGACTTCATGTTAGTCTACTTTGATTTTTGTTTGAAAATCATAGTGAACTATGATTACACATAGTTAACCTGTAAAATTACATGTGATTTTTTTCTATTGTTCAAATATGGAATCTAATGTATTTAATGTAATATGATTCTTTACCTGTTTGTGTGCAATTCCTTTTTCTCAGGGAAATCCAGGCCCCCCAGGAGTTTTGGGCAGCAAAGGGGAAAAAGGATCCCAAGGTCATCCAGGACATAAAGGAATACCAGGACCACCTGGGACCAGAGGGGAAACTGGAGGTGCAGGAATCTCAGGTATGTTTTGTTTTGGCAGGGTGGTGAGATGTTAGCATACCTTTAAGATAAGATAATTTGTCAGTAAACTACACAAAGTGCCTATGCGCTGGCATAATAAATGCTTGGAGCAACGTAGAGATATTCCAGCCAATGAGCCCGCCTCATTTGGAGCTCAGCTCAGATGCCTCTACACAAACGCCTGTAGCATGGGGAACAAACAAGAGAAATTAGAGATGTGCGCGCATCTACGAGGGTATGATATAACAGGCATCACAGAAACATGGTGGGATGGCTCCTATGACTGGAGTGTTGGAATGGAAGGTTACAGGCTCTTTAGAAAAGACAGGCCTGGCAGGCGCAGAGGGGGAGTTGCCCTTTATGTTAGGGATAGGCTGGAGAGTATGGAACTCTGTCTGGGGACAGGTGAGCAGTTAACAGAGTTTGTGGGTCAGGGTTAAAGGGAGAACAGAGATGGGAGACATTACTGTGGGGATCTGTTACAGACTGCCTGATCAAGAGGAATCTGTGGATGAAGCACTCTATAGGCAGATAGGAAAAGCCTCACGCTCACAGGCCCTCGTTCTCATGGGTGACTTCAACCACCCTGACATCTGTTGGAGCGACGGTACGGCCCGGCACAAGCAATCCAGGAGGTTCCTCGATTGTGTGGAAGACAACTTCCTTCTGCAAGTAATAGAGGAACCAACAAGGAGAGGTGCCATGCTTGACCTTGTGCTCACCAACAGGGAAGGGCTCATTGGAAATGTGATGCTCCAGGGCAGCCTTGGATGCAGTGACCACGAGATGGTCGAATTTGAGATCCTCAGGACAGTGAGAAGAGCGTGCAGCAAGCTCACTGCCCTGGACTTCAAGAGAGCAGACTTTGGCCTCTTCAGGAACCTGCTTAGTAAGGTTCCATGGGATATAGCCCTAGAGGGCAGGGGGGCCCAAGACTCTTGGTTGATCTTCAAGGATCACCTGCTACAAGCTCAGGAGTGTTGCATCCCAACTAGAAGGAAGTGCAGCAGGAGGGCCAGGAGACCTCCTTGGATGGATAAGGAGCTGCTGAGGAAAATTCAAATGAAAAAAGAGTTTTATAGAAAGTGGAAGCAAGGACAGGCGGCCTGGGAAGAGTACAGGGATGTTGTCCGGGAAGCTAGGGACCAGGTTAGGAAAGCTAAGGCCCAGTTAGAATTAAACTTGGCTAGGGATATTAAGGATAACAGGAAGGGATTCTACAGGTACATAGCAAATAAAAAACAGATTAGGGAGAACGTAGGCCCCCTCAGGAAGCTCTCAGGTGAACTAGCTACACAGGATTTGGAGAAGGCTGAGGTTCTGAATGACTTCTTTGCCTCGGTCTTCACTGGCAAAGGCTCTGACCGCACCACCCAAGTCTTGGAAGGCAGATGCAGGGACTGTGAGAATGAAGACCTTGGGCCCACTGTAGGAGAGGAACTGGTTTGAGACCATCTTAAAAATCTGAATGTGCACAAGTCCATGGGTCCTGATGAAATCCATCCGCGGGTCCTGAAGGAGCTGGTGAATGAAGTTGCTAAGCCGCTGGCCATCATATTTGAAAAATCATGGCAGTCAGGTGAAGTTCCCGAAAAGACTGGAAAAAGGGAAATATAACCCCCATTTTCAAGAAGGGGAAAATGGATGACCCGGGGAATTACAGACCAGTCAGTCTCACCTCTGTGCCTGGCAAAATCTTGGAGCAGATTCTCCTGGAAGGCATGCTAAGGCACATGAAAAACAACAAGGTGCTTGGTGACAGCCAGCATGGCTTCACTAAGGGGGAAATCCTGCCTGACCAATTTGGTGGCCTTCTATGATGGGGCTACAGAACTGATGGACAAGGGTAGAGCAGTTGATGTCACCTACCTGGACTTGTGTAAAGCGTTTGACACTGTCCCACATGGCATTCTTGCCTCTAAATTGGAGAGACATCAATTTGATGAATGGACCACTCAGTGGGTAAAGAACTGGCTGGATGGCCGCACACAAAGAGTTGTGGTCAATGGCTCAATGTCCGGCTGGAGACCAGTAACGAGTGGTGTCCCTCAGGGATTGGTGCTGGGACCGGTCTTGTTCAACGTCTTTGTCAGTGACATGGACAGTGGGATTGAGTGCACCCTCAGCAAGTTTGCCACTGATGCCAAGCTGTGTGGTTCGGTTGATACGCTGGAGGGAAGGAATGCCATCCAGAGGGACCTTGACACGCTTGTGAGGTGGGCTGATGCCAACCTCATGAAATTTAACCATGCCAAGTGCAAGGTCCTACACCTGGGTCGGAGCAATCCCAGGCACAGCTACAGGTTGGGCAGAGAAGAGATTCAGAGCAGCCCTGTGGAGAAGGACTTGGGGGTGCTGGTCGATGAGAAATTGAACATGAGCCGGCAGTGTGCGCTCACAGCCCAGAAAGTCAGCCATGTCCTGTGCTGCATCAAAAGGAGTGTGACCAGCAGGTCGAAGGAGATGATCCTGCCCCTTTGCTCTCGTGAGACCTCATTTGGAGTATTGTGTGCAGTTCTGGTGTCCTCAACATAAAAAGGACATGGATCTGTTGGAACAAGTCCAGAGGAGGGCCACGAGAATGATCAGGGGACTGGAGCACCTCCCATATGAAGACAGGCTGAGGAAGTTGGGGCTGTTCAGCCTGGAGAAGAGAAGGCTGCGTGGAGACCTCATAGCAGCCTTCCAGTATCTGAAGGGGGCCTATAGGGATGCTGGGGAGGGGCTCTTCATTAGGGACTGTAGTGATAGGACAAGGGGTAACGGGTTAAAACTTAAACAGGAAGTTTATGTTGGATATAAGGAGGAAATTCTTTCCTGTTAGGGTGGTGAGGCACTGGAATAGGTTGCCCAGGGAGGTTGTGAATGCTCCATCCCTGGCAGTGTTCAGGACCAGGTTGGACAAAGCCTTGGATGATACAGTTTAGTGTGAGGTGTCCCTGCCCATGGGCAGGGACGAGGTTGGAACTTGATGATCTTAAGGTCCTTTCCAACCCTAACTATTCTATGATTCTATGATTCTATATTTATATTCAGCTTCTATAAACTTTTAACAGCTCCTTTGTAGTCAGTGCAGCCATACTGCCTTACATCAGCTACAGATCTTTTGCAGCTGTCTGAAGCAGAAATGATAGCAAAATTTTCAGGCTGAATCTGGACCTACTGATAATGCCTTTTTCTCCTTTCCCACACTGTTCCTACAGGAAAGCTTGGACCTCCTGGAAATAGTGGTGTTAAAGGACAGCAGGGCCGCCCAGGCCAACAGGGTATTAGAGGCCCTCCAGGTATGGTGTAGTGCATCTCTCCCAAATCACTGCCCCCTCGTTTTTTATTTTCTTTGGAATGAGGGAGTTGATGTTCTTTTGAGCTTTTTAGAATATAACTGATGCAGTTGCAGTCTCTGTTTATGTTAGTTCAAGGTTTTGTTTACCTTCTCTGGTTGAAGCAAAGGTCTTCAGCAGACTGTTTTCAATGTTACCAGTTCAGCTGAGGCAACAGGTTTTAGTTTTATTTCACTATTATAACCTTCACCTTCTTTTTTTCTTTTTTTTATTTTTTTTAAATCTGGTGGTCTCATGATGTGATATCCACACAATTGTAAGGAAGGCTTGTTCTGCCTCCTAAAAGAGAATGTTAAACTAAAATGTAGCTAGATGAGGAGGAGAGCAAAATGAAATGGAAGGAGGGGACAGAGTTGTAGTTGCTTGTTAAAGCAATAGAAAAGTTTAAACTATCCAAAATATACCTAAGGGGGAGTGTGTAAATGCAGCAGAGAGTTACACAATGCAGATTTTAATAAAGTGAGTGCCAGTCATTGTCTTCAAAAAGTACATTGGATGCTCTTACATTTGGAGACCTGAATCAGAATTACAATATTGTGGTTTTGTAGACTTTAGTGAACTTGCACTGACTTACCAACAGAGTTAGCAAAGATCAGAATCAACTCCCTGTTTAGAAAAACTTGAATTTGTAATAAAGCCTGGGAGAGAAACCACCTCTATGGATTCCCGTCAGGGTGGATTAAGTCAAAGGAAGAGTCCTAAAATGTCTTTGAAAGACAAGGCCATTGCCTGTGAAAATAGTGGGGATATTAAATCCATTTAAGTCTAGTGAGTTCAATAAAAATTATGGTGCTACTCTTTAAAAATGTTTAAATACCAACACAGTTATATATATGTGAAGTAACTGAACCAACTAAATCTTAATAAAGGGGACTCATATCTTCTCCCTTTGAAATGCAAAATAATAGTAGTGAAAATGATATTGTGGTCTGCTGTAATTCACAGGTGCCATTGGAGAGCCTGGAAAAAGTGGACCTGTTGGTGAAAGAGGTAATCAAGGTCAGGATGGTATGCCTGGTCCCCCAGGAGTAAAGGGAGAACCAGGTAACACCAGTGAAATACTTTCATTCTGGTTCACAGTTGTTGTTTTCCCTAGTTAAACTGACAAGGATTAATTGAGAAGGATTAATACGGAACTTCTGTGGAGCCAAAGATAAGTTTATAAATAGAAGGGTTTTCACTTTTACATAATTCACAGGTTTTTTTCTATGAACTTGTTGTATATGCTGTCAACAACCCAAATGCGTATGTCACTGCTCTGTTATGCGATTTGTCATAACATCACCTAATAATGTTAATGTCTGCAAGAGCCAAAGGACTGCTGTTAACAGTACTTACATGTTTAATCTGAAAGAACCAAAATCCTTTTAAAGGACTCTCCTCTCTTACATGGAAATAAGATAAAAGGCACCACAGTGTTTACTTACATGAATGGTGAAGGTTTCCATGACCTAGCCCTTGGATTGTAAACCCTTTCATTCCGTCATTTAAATGTCACTCCTGATGTCATCAATGTCTACGGATAGATTTAGTCCTCCACTGAATCCTGAGAGAAAGTGTTTTCATATTTTACAGTGATAATACTTCCATATTAGTATAAAGAGGGTACTGAGAAGGCAGGCATAGTACATAGTATGTGTGAAGTAATCACTGTTAATGTATTTTCCTTTTTAGTATTTACATTTCTTCTATTTTTCTTAGTAACTAACTCAAATGCAGATTTTTCTTTTTTTTTCCTCTGAAAACAGACAAAACTTATTATTGCAGAATGTACTTCAAATGTGATTGACTGAAGAGTTTCTACTATGAAGAAAAGCAAATTTAATTTGTATTTCTGTATAGAAGAAATGGAAATAATAATCTAAATTATATTTTGCCTATAACTAAAATCTAGATCGTGATGCAGTGAATTCTGAAGAAATGTGTAAAATATTAGATAATGATGATGTTTTCTAACAATTATTCGGGACTTTGAGCATAACGTGACCTAATATTTTATAGGAGCACCAGGGAGAGGAATCCCTGGCCCTCGAGGTATTCCTGGTCGGAGAGGTAAGTTATCTTTGCAGAAAGCAAAAGCTTAATTTTTACATACCAGAATCATCGTCATCATCATCTTTAAGCTGCCTCCTGCTTTTGGATGCTTGAAATGGCACTAAGGATGTCAGAGAAAACCAAGAGTAATTCTGTGCTTCTGATCAATGCTTTGGTGTTATATTCGGTGTTATATATAAAAGTTAAGACTATTATAATAGGGAAATGAAGAAGCGAACTTCTATGGTTTTGTGAATGTGACACATTCTAGAGCTTTTGAAATTTTATTTTGAAATATAATTTCATTAACAGAGGATGTTCTAATGAAAACAGATGATGCTGCTGAATGTTAAGCATACTATAAGAAAGCTGCAGCAACTTCAATTTAAATTTGTTCATCTTGCTTTTTATGTTGATGAAAATTGAGGGGACTCTTCCCATTTTTTAGGTTTTGCATCTATTTCTAGTATTAGCTGAATTGCAGTGATTTGCTTTACTTAAAAAAAAAAAAAATCTTCATATCTTCCATCTATAGATTTTGCACTTGAAGATCAGCCTTACAAAAATATCCTTTTCAGGTAGTCTCTTATTTTGTGGTACTCATATTGATGCTTTTAATTGCAGTTTAGTTTAAAAGGATTTGCCAGTTCTGATGTTCGAAGAAGCTTTTCTTGTACTTATACATCAAGAAATATTCCCTGCTGTGGTCTTTGTACCTTCCTCCCAAGTTTGTTCCCTTGTATGAGCAATCTCGGAAGTGAAGGGGTTTTTTTGAGAAAAAAAGAGTAGTGTGTACTACTACCTTGTTGTGAGTCCTGTGTTCTCACAACCATTTTGCCTTACAGTAGAAAGGTGGCTTTGAGGACTTCTCCATATTAAAACCAAAGGCTGAATTCCACCCTTGCGGTACAGTAAATATTGTGTGTTGTCACACCATCTTGACAGCTCTCACCAAATGTAATACTTACTCTTTGCAGGAATCAAAGGGGACATGGGACTGCCTGGTTTTCCTGGGCCACCAGGTATGAAAGGTCATCAGGGTGACCAAGGACCTGTTGGACCACCTGGCTTAGTGGGGTTACCTGGATTTCAAGGCTCAACAGGCATGGCAATTACTGGTCAAAAAGGGAACAGAGGTATTGCTGGTGCAGATGGAAGACCAGGTGCGTTGTTATAACTCCTTTTTTATCTGAGATGATATACTGATAATTGAAAGCAGAATTCGGCCTGTCCAGAACTTAAGGTGGAAGGGAGTCTTTCCCCAAGAGAAATTCATAATTAAATATGTAGTTTCTTTACCAATTAATGTAGTGTTATCATTGGAAACACCATGATGGTCTGTGCAGTGTGATGTAAATTAAAATAACACCAAGCTTTGCAGTCCACTCGATTTTCATTATTTTGCTTTCTGCCCATGTAGTCTGTAGAGCAGCTGAGATCCAACTACGAAGAAGTGTGGGTAGATATGGCACTTAGTGGTGGACTTGGCAGTGTTAGGTTTATGGCTGGACACAATGATCTTAAAGGTCTCTTGCAACCTAAATGATTCTGTGATTCAATGATTACAGGCGTAACTACAACTGGAGGTTACTCCAAAATCTGTACTGCTACAGAGTGCTGCAAGAACTCAGCTCTGATTCCAGATTAAATTAGCAGGCTGGGAAAAATGAGTGGCCTTTTTTTTGTTTTTTTTTTTTTCTTAATGGGTATATTCCCCTGGTAATCATTGAGGTGGTAAACATGAGTGCCATTATAGAGTTGTTGAATGTTGTACTGCATTGTACGTCATGTATGTGAAATGCTGTTAGCAGTAGTCTTTACTTACTCTGATGTTTCTGTACAGGTGCTCCTGGTTTTCCAGGGCCTCCTGGTCTTTCTACTCTCAGCATGAAAGGAAGCAAAGGAGTTAGAGGCGCAGATGGCATACCAGGGCCAACAGGCCCAGCCGGTGACACTGGTCCTCCAGGTCCAAAAGTCAGTGAAAGGAATATTGCTTGTTTCTTACTCCATTGTTAATTTGTTCTTACCATGAAAATAACACCCAGGGCAATCTAAAATAACACCAAACAAACAATAAACCAAAACAAACATAAAAAACCCTCATCCTCCCCAAACCCCTTTGTGATAGACGAAAGATATTAAAATGGATACGAAAAATAGTTTTTATGGACTTCAGCGGACCAGAAGGAAATTATCATGAATTTCTGGCATGTTATTTCCCTAGCCATTCTGTATTACAGAGTAATATTAACAATTAAATGCTCACAAATGAAGCAGATAATTCTAGTTGTAGCATATTCTGTGAACATAATACTTTGAATATTCTGAACAAAAGGTACTTCATAGCATGCAGAGGCTGCTTCTTGTTTATTATTGGTGTTATCTGATTTGCAGGGAGTAGAAGGTCGATCAGGTTATCCTGGTGCTAGAGGGGCCCCGGGATTTCTTGGATTCCCAGGTGTAAAAGGTATATGCATATTCACTACATACACTTCTGAGTCCTAAAAAACAATTGTTTACATGTTGTGTTATAATAGTATTTGTGTTACAGTACCTCATCCTAGAGTTTGTTGCATCAACAGCGGGGTACAGGTCAGCTATAAGAGAAAGCATTCACTATGAGAGCATTTTCTTTGTGTTAGATGCTATGGGTATAGCCAGACTGCTGTTAAGTGAGAAAGGGCTGAAACTGCAATAGCCTCCATTCCAGGCAAATTCAAAACAAGTTTGTCCTTAGTGACTCGTAATGTATAAGGACTTTGGGACTATGTCTGCTAATTAGAAATGCCATACCTCTGATAGATGCCTTTGGGAACCTCCAAGGTATAGAACTCCAGAGCATTTAATCATAATTACAACACAGAGCACTGGGTCCTCTGTTTGCTGTAAGAATAGTCACAATTACAATTTAATTTACCAGTTTATCAGGAAATGAACTGTTAAATGTATTGGCTTCATTAATTCCGTATTCCTGACATTTGAATCAGTAGGTGGCTAAAAATCCTTTTAATGTAGACTTTTTTTTCCAGTGATTTAAATCCAATACAGGTCTACATCGCTCCAGTATTCTCATTTCAGTTGCATGATTTACAGAGACAAAGAATTGCCATTACCTGCTTAGCCTACTGCTTTGTGCTTCATGTTAATTATTGTGTATTTTAAATTTGTTCTAATTTGAGAAGTCACTGTACAGACAGTAATTATGCTTTTCTTAAGCAAAAAGTTCTAATTTAATGTCATAGTCAGTCAAAATGCCCGACTTGATGACAGAAATACTGATCTGAAAAAACCTGAATGTAACCTCATGTTTTGCACAACAAAAAGAAATGCTTATAAGCTTCCAAAACTTGCAAAACTATATGACCCTCCTAACAGCCATCAGCATAACTGACAGCAGGATTTAAAAGAAGTCGAACTGCACAGCATCACTGAAGGCAAAACTTGACCTGCAGACTCAGTGACAAAAACACGTAAGATAAAAAGGACATAGTCTAAAGTTGAGATTTTAAGCCAGGTTTGTGGAACCAGCCATTATATAAAGATAGACTAGGAAACATCTTATAAACTGAATGCACTTGGACTGTAAATCCTACAGTAACGACAGAGATGTAGAAGTCCACTTTTGCTTTTCAAATGAGTCTACAGGCTGTATTACTCTTTGGGAAGTTTGAATGGATCATTCAGGACTCCTTAATAAGAGTCTGAAACTTTCACAGTGATTTTCACATGTTAAATGAACATACATATCTTCAATCTTCCTTTTTAGGAGAAAAGGGTAATCGGGGACCCCCTGGACCACAAGGTGCGGAAGGGCCAAGGGGACCAAAGGGCCAGCATGGTAACCAACCGTTCTCATTCTAATACCAGCTGACTTAGGTTGATTTGTTTTGTAGATTGTTTGCTTTCTTTTAATACGAAGCAAAGTTCTTCATTATATTTTTGCTGTTAGGTCCACCTGGAGTCCCTGGGAAAATATTCTCCATCCCAGGAAGCAAGGGTCCTCCTGGACTGCCAGGAATACCAGGAACACTAGGTGACCAAGGAATTCAAGGGATTCCTGGACTTCCAGGTGGTTTATACTTTTATCTCTGTACACATTTGTGCTGCTTAGGGAAACAGTTTGGGTTGGTGGGAAAACATGCTTCTGCATAGGAAATTGACGCATCTTTAAAAATACCTCTCCATATTTAAAAAGAGCTTTGTACCTTGTTAACAACCGTGTATTTATAATCTGTCCTTTCCATCTGCCCTCCAACTTCACAGTCATTGAGTTTCTCCCTCAACATGAGCCTAAGCAAAATAATGGAATAAAAAGTAAATTAGATCAAAACTTTCACAATTTTAATACAACCAGAACCACGCTCAGGATGCCATTATGCACGGGGAAATTACCTTGCATAATAGAAGTACTCTAGATGTGCTACAAATTTATTGTGTCCACCATACTCTGGGGATTGGAAGGGAAAGCAGAAGCTGACTACTTCTCCACTGGCACTGGAAGTCAAGCCTGCCATGGATGTGAGGAATGGGAAAGCAAAGTGAAGGCAGGATGAGGGGGATATGCAGTGGGTGCTTGGCCACCACAGCTTCCCACCACAGGAAGAGAGCTTCTCCAGGAAGCAGGCTTGCTGGAAGGCATGCCCCAATCCAGAATGACAGTTGCCTCTAGCATAACAAAGCAGGCACTAAAGAATTGCTCTTTTATACTTGCCTTAAAATTGTTTTACAGAGAAGCTGCAATGTTTATAGAATCACAAACCACGGTCTATATAACATGAACCTATTGGAGTGAGTCCAGAGAAGGGCCACAAAGATAAGAGGGCTGGAGGACCTCTCCTATGAAGGCTGAGAGAGTTGGGCTTGATCAGCCAGGAGAGGAGAAGGCTCTGGGGAGACCTTATAGCATCCTTCCAGTACCTAAAGAAAGCTGGAAAGGGACTTCGCACAAGTTCAGTATAGGGACAGGACAAGAGGTAATGGTTTTAAATTGGAAGAGGGTAAATTAAGATAGGAGTTCTTTACTGTGAGGGTGGTGAGGCACTGTAACAGGCTGTCCAGAGAAGCCCCATCCCTGGCAATGTTCAAGGCCAGGTTGGACTTGGCTTTGTGCACTCTGGTCTAGTAGAATTGCCCATGGCAGGCGGAGTGGACCTGGGTGATGTTTAAGGTTTCTTCCAACTCTTAACCATTCTATGAGTTTATGATTCTATGATTATGCCCTGTTACTGTATTTTTTAAATACCTATATTGCACGAGACATGCTAAAAGAAAAAGCTGTTTGCTTTGGTTTCTGAAAATATTTCTTATGAGAATACTGTTTTTCTGAAATACAGTCAATATTTCCTTGTAATCTTTCTGATAGAAAATACAGTGACAGTAATGCTACAGTCTCAAAACTTAGTAAATTCATGCTGTTTTTATTCTAACACAGCTACATTTACATGAGGATTTTAACTTTATTCATTAACAGTTACTGCAATCTAGAATAACTAAGGCTATATGATTCCATTTTTTTCTTGATTACAATTAGGACCTAAAGGAGTGAAAGGTCTACCAGGAAGATTTGGTCATCCAGGGCAACCAGGACTGCCTGGTCCAAAAGGAGACAGGGGATTTCCAGGAGAAAGAGGTACAGGAAGGCAGACATCTATGTTTGACTGCTGCTCCTGAAGTTACAGATAAACTGATTTCTGTAAATCCTTTCTCTTTGATGTACTGAGATTCTGTAACATTTACAGTCACTTCAGGGCCACAAGCACATGTAAGCACATTCTTAGCTTTTAACAGATGCATGTCCACAACTGGAATAGTAATTTAAAAAAATATGCTTTAACTGTGCTCCTTTCTAATTAATCATATTTATTTATCCATCTGAAATCCCTAGGTATCAGTGTGCCTTTTAATGACATCAAAATACAATTAAATATTTAGTCACCATTTTTTGAAAAAATGGCCATGGTTCTTTAAAATACATTGCTATTCGGTGAAGCTGTGCAATGTAAAGCTACCTGAACTAGGTCTGAAAGAGTTAATACACCTAGCAATAAATATGACCAATTTACAAGTTGTGTCTTACTGATAATTTTTTTGTTAGTTTTCAAGTAGTTCCACTAATTTAAATGAACTAAAAATTCAAATAAAATTATAATATTTGTAGTCTTATTTCTTTTCCCTTCACAGGACAGCCTGGACTGATTGGCTTTCCAGGTCTACAGGGGTTACCTGGAGCACCAGGTACTATGATTGCTGGTCCAACAAGAAGAGGTTTTATCTTTACCCGGCATAGTCAGTCAACAAGGATTCCTTCATGCCCACATGGGACATCGCAGCTCTATGTTGGTTATTCACTGCTTTTTGTACAAGGAAATGAACGAGCACATGGACAAGATCTTGGTACTGTAATGGTAAAAAGTTTCAGATCATGTTCTTTAGAGTCCCATCATGTTAAGTTGTCATGCAACCAAACTCACAGTAAGTGTCCGAGATGAACACTGGTTTCAACCATCAGGCTCCAGAGTGGTTCACTGCTCTGAGTAAATTCAGGGATCATGGCTTGAAAGACAACTTTCCTGCACTCTTATATTCCCTTTTTGCTACCTCTAGACATTTCTGAGGAGGAATTCAGTTACTTATGGACAAATGTCTAGTATAAATGTTCACAATATCTGCACGGGTCTGACAGTAATAACACAAGGTCTCAGAAACTTGCCTTTTTGGAGACCAAATGGGATGCTTTAGGAGTCAAAAATGGCACCAGAAGCTTTTGTTTAAGCAGCTGAATCCCTATTACTGCATCAAGGACCAATACTGTTCAAGAATATATTATTATTTTAACATATTCTGTTCTTAGCCTTTATTTTTTATATATACCATAAACATTTTGCTTTCAGATAATTCCACTATACAAACACTTCTCTCTTTATAGTTACCAGCAGTT